GGGAATAGGGAAGAGGGTAGAACCAGAGGAGGAAATTTCGAGTGGGAGGTTGGCATTTTGCGAAAAATTTCCCCAGTGCCAAGACATGCATAAAGGTGGGCTCATAAATACAGAGCTCGCCACGGCGTTCGTGCAAGGACCTAGTTGCATCGAAAAAGAACTGCTCCAAGACGTCGCGTCCTCAGTTTGCTAGGAAATAATTTGTCAGTTTGTACCGCAATATGGAAGTCAGGCACTAGATCCAAAGGGTCAATCATAGCGCCAGGAGAATCCTTAAATGATAGTAGAATCTAGCTCCTCTGTCTAATGACAAGTCCGAAGGACGCCTTCTGTGAATCGTAACATTCACTTTCAACTGATTTTTGCCTTAGCACGTCCATTTCTTTGGCAAAACTTGTCGCTCGAATGCTCATATTAGGCAAAGGATCGAGATAAACTGCAATCCCCAAGTAAGACCTTGAAGGAAATTTTACGTCATCTTCGTCCCCCCCCCCCTTCTAGCGAGAATGTACTTTTGCTAATACACGATTCAGAATTTTGAGGCGGAAAAAGTCCGACACATTGCTGTCATCTTGAAAATTGAATTCACAGTATTACCCTGGGGAGCTCCGTTTTGTGACAACTCCCCGCACCCATGCTTCAGCTTGAGCTGCTTTTCAACTTACACCCAGCAACTGAGGAGATACCCATCATGAATAATCAATTCCCAAATTTACTGTGAATAACTAACCGGTAGAGCGACCCATTTCTATGGTTACCTACTCAGTTTTGAGACTATACCGGGTGAGGGTAGCCGCATAGGAAATGTGGAAAAGTCATGAATAGCATAAGTCTCACCGGTACTTGACCATTCGCATACACACCCGCACTTGGGTCATACGGTATCGGATACGTGGGAGCCGACATCTGTCGCTGTCTCAAGGGTACAGCTGGCTCGGCTGAATGTGCTGGAACGCTCAGAAAAAGCAATACAGCACGATATCAGAAGAAATGGAAGTCAACTTACAAGTCCTTTGCTTGCTGGCAAACTCTTGGAACAGTCGACTTTGCGTCATTGGGTTCTCATCTAAAAATCCACAAATAATTTCCCATTCTGTACATCTCCCAAGGGCAGCAAATTCCTTTCGATTCTTTTTCAAAAAAACATTTGGTGGTAGCCGAAGGGGCGGAGACTGATGAGAACGGCGTCTTTCTCATTAGTGCGTCCACCTACTACGAGAGAATGAGCGAAAAGAGGAAAGGAGCAACACAGATGGCTATGTTTTCGTCATAGATCACACCGCGGAACTGTCTTCAACTAGATTGCCGAAAAATCCAACTCAAAAGGAAAAAATGAAAAGAAACATATCAGAGCAGGTTTTTGCATATTCTTGAATAAAAATTAAAGAATACTCAGGTACATGAAAATGTCGCAGATTTTGTAAACAACAAAATAGCTATATGCTCGCCACTAAGGCAGGAATTCCTTATGGCCGGAGGATGACATTACAGGACTAATAAAATGATAATGATCAAAAGCACTTAGGCGTTGGTCATTTATGAGCGCTGGCGCGCAATCTGTTTCCCTAACAAAAAATTCATTGAAGCCAGCATGCAACATAGAAGTAAAGGTACGGTCCGCAGTCAGGTATAGAAATTGAAACTATTGCAGCTCGAGGGTAGTGTGGTCTGCGACGAAACAGCCTCGTACCGGTTTCACGGCAAAAAATTGCAAATGAGGGGCGCTATAGCGCATTAAAGGCTTAATGACGCCTCCTGTTTTCCAGTGACTCCGCCTCGCAAGAGTCCGCCTTCAAAGCCCCACCCCCCCTTTTTAGTGAAAAGGAGGCCTGGGCAGCAGACGAAAAGAGCATAAAAATTGTCGACTTGTATGGTCGTATATTCCTTTACTGGAATAACCTGCACGGATGAGACCTGGGGTTGAAGATGGTGTCAGCCGGCCACGTACAAACTGGCACCGCCTTGTCTCCTATATGCAGACCCCTAGTCTACGTTCTCTGACGGCCAATGATCGTATAGTTCTTACTGGGAATAACTTGTACGGATGAGGACCTAGGGTTGAAGATGTGCGCTTTGCCTTTAAGGATCTAGGCAGGTTATCATTGCTAGCTCATGCTGATCGCGGGGGTTAGGCACAGCCGAGAACGGGAAGATAAACGGCTCCACAGAAAGGAGTTCAAATCTGGCTTTCAGACCTGCGTAGCAGGGCAAAGCGGTTACTAAGCGGCGAAAGGCGAGGTCCCCCCCCCCCACCCTTCCTCCATTGGACTTTATTCAATAGGTAGCCTAACGCAGTACACTGTAATCCTGAAACCGTCTCCTTTTCATCGGCGTAAGCGGGATACTTTCAAAAAAAAGACGGAGTATGAAATAAAACGATAGCGAAAGGAAAACCATACAAAATAGAAGCAAACTGTAGGGAACAAATGATGTGGGACTTACTTGGAGTAAGCATCTCAGGCACTGGAGGTAAGGATGATTGCCGTTGGGAGGATGGAGGAGGGAGTGATCTGAAAATGAGTCTCTGAAAGAACAATTAGAGGCGTGATTCACAGCAGGCTTAAAACCTTACCGTCGCGTCATCTCGTCCAGCTGTCTCCGCACTGGAGTGAAATCGTATGCTGGATTGATGTGACTGTGAACCATTGCTGGTCCCATCACCTGCGGAGCGATTGAACTGCAAGTAATATAGCCCTATTTCCGAGCTTGGTTTAGTTTCAAAGCTATATCTTCATGAATATGATGTCTAGGCAAAAGGCAAGAGAATAAATTTGCCTTGCGAATGAAAATCAACAAAAAAACGACGAGGAAAGGACATTGAGCAGTCTGGTACCTAAGAAGCATAGACTTGTTGGAGTGGCTAGAAGTGGTTCGAACCTCATCATCGGGTTCGGTATCATATGATTTCGTTGCCCATCAGGTCGACTGCTCTTCGTTAGTTGGCTCATTTCCATCATGTTGTCGATCATCTGGCTTTGAGCCATTGCTTCACTTCCAGCATCACCGATACCAAGACAGAAGCCTGCCGCTGTCGACTGGGACATCGGCTGTTGACGATTCACCGTTGGGAAGGCGCCTGAATCCATAAAGCTATCTAGAGATCCATTTTAGGTCAGAAATTCCAAGGTTCATTGCAAAAATGTATCCCAAGATCAAATTTACAAGAGAAAGAAAAATTGGGTAATTCGATGAGACGATGCTCAAATGCTCACTTGTACTCATGCTGGTGCTCAGCGGCAGCATGGTCATCGACTGACTCATTTTCTCTGCAAACTTCAACTTGGCATTGGGGACCAACGAATGCGGGAAGAGACCACCAGGTTTGATCGGGGTGGCTAGAATTGTCTCTGTCCACTGAGCCTCGAGCTTTGGCTTCCTGAAAATGACTTGCTTTCAATTCCTTCGAAAATTTTATGTACAAAAAACTAATAAATAAAAGAGATAACAAGAAAAAAAGATGAAACTCTCACTTGAGATGTTCTATTTTGAGATCGAGCTGCTTTTGTTGGAATGGCATCGCAAACTGCTCCCGTCCAACCATTTCCAGCCATGATATCAACGACAAGTCGGTGGATGACAGACGAGGCCGATTCGCCAGAATGTCAGTCGGGTGGGGACCATTTTCTATGCCTGAATCAAAGCGTCTGAATGATTCTAGTGAGAGACAAATTTGTGATCCAAGTGTTTTCTAAAATAAGTGAGTAACATTTGAGAGGCAGAATGAGAGTCAACTGAGCGACGAAGGCATTCAATTACCGACCGTCTGAACTATGCATTCACTACTTTTTGGAATTGCTTTTTTCTACACGCACTCACAGCTAACTGCTGCTTTTTAGTACTTTTCAGACGCGGGGACTATGGGCAACCAGGGCAGAAAAAAAACGCTAAATCGTAGACGTAGCGGGCATCCCTGGGCAGAAGCTGGGAAGCCCAAGTGAGTCCCTCGAAATTCCGTCCTCTTGCCACAGTTGCTACCCATTCGCTCATGTTGTGCCACATTATCATCATCCTGTTCAACGTGTTTGTTTTTTGAAAGTGCTAACCTTTCAGATCGCCAATGGCTTGCGCTTGGCAATAATCCACACATCCCTCGTAAAACACTCCTTTTGCAACCAGAGAAATCAGTCGATCGTGATTTGAATGGTGCTCCTCCTAAAAAGGAGAAGTGCCTCTGGTTGGAGGAAAGAGGTAAAAGTAAACAATCAATAGCGAAGAGTTGGAAAGAAAATGGAAAACTAACTGAACATTCAGTGTACTATCAGAAAAATCTCATATATTCCAGAGTCGGAACCTTAGAAGCTGTGCGGAGATGGTGTTTAGTCTTGTTCGCTGTGGAGGATCGGGCGAACACGTCGAGGGGGGGGGGAAGATGAATCTGGCATAGCGCCAGCCCGCTTTTTCTTTCCCAGGCAAGGGGACGACCGTGTCTGTCGCTTCCCTCTAGTTGGTGTCTCATACCAGGTTCCATAGTTGGTGGAGAACGTGCTGGGAGCGCGCCAAACCCAGCCTCACTGACACGCCCACATGGCACGGTGAAATCATTCCACGTCAACCATGCCATTCATCCCTTCAAAGTCATTTAGTCCCTCAGACCTGTCTGAGAACATAAACACTGAGTTGCACGTCAGATGGCTCCCGTACTCTTTTGCTAAGGACAGTGGATAAACGATAAAGGATAAAGTCTTTGCCGTTAATCAATCCCTTTGGGGGTGCGGCACGCATTCTACATACTTCCATTCAAGATCGTAGTGACCT